CGCGTCAGTAAGCGGCTAGAAATGGACGAAACGAAAGCAAACGGACAGGTTCGATCCAAGGTCTCTCCCATCATCAGCGAAGACATGGATATGTATGTGGAAATTGCAAAGCTATGGCAAGACGAGAACTTGGATAAAACTGTCGCCGCATTAGGAGAGGCATTGAAGATCAGCAACTCGTCAGGCAGCGTGGGCCAAGTTGACGTTCAGTTGCTAAACAATCTTGGTGTGCTGCGTCACCTTACGGAACAATTGCCAGACGCAAGGGTGTTATACGAGAATGCCCTTATCAAGGCAGCTAGTCTCGGTCCTGATATTGGTGAGGGTATTTCAGCATCCATCTTGTACAACCTTGCCCGAGTCTATGAGGACCAGGGAGAAGATGGCTTGGCTAAGGATGCCTATGAAAAGTTGCTTTCACGACATCCAGAGTATGTTGACGGTAAACTTAATTTCCAGTTTCTATTATTTCAGCACCAGTTTGACATACCCCTCTAGCCAAAATACGGCGAGCTCAAATGCTCACTAATTTGCGGCGCAACAATGACGCACATGATCTTCTGAAACAGGCGCTAGCTTCGCAGAACAAAGATCTCAATGTCCGCGCATTCTATACCTATTTCCTAATTCAAAGTGGCTTGCCCAAGCTCGCAAAAGATTTCGTGTTCACAACCCTGAAAGATCACGACAAACACGATGTCTACTCACTTTGTGCGGCTGGTTGGATTATGTACCAGCAATCGCGAGAAAGTCGAGACGCTACATCCAAGGGTGCTGACGACCGGCGCCGTGGATTCCAGCGTTCTGCCGAATTCTATGAAAAGGCGTTGTCGCTAGACCCACTTTGTGCATTTGCAGCTCAAGGTCTAGCCATCGTCACAGCAGAAGATGCTCTCGGTACTCTCAGTGGCGGACAACCTTCGTCGAATACGGATGAAGCTCTGAAACGACTACACAACTCTCGCGAAGCCCTGGACGTGTTCGGAAAGGTTCGAGAGTCACTGAACGACGGTAGTGTGTACTTCAATATGGGGCATTGCTATTATTCTCGTGATGAATATGACCGGGCGATCGAAAGTGTAAGTTTCGTTGTTCGTCTACGAAGAGACGAGCTTATATTATCGGATCTAGTATGAAACAGCTTCTACACGTTTCTACCATGGCCAAAATGTATCAGTGCTTCTATGTCTCTGTCGTTCATGGTATGCCAAGGCAACAAAAGATCAGTCGTATAAGGCGATGACCACGGCATTGCATTATGCTCAAAAGGTCAGCATTCCACCGAGCATCTCTCTTTATCGCTTACTAAGAGGTTCATATAGGCCTTGCACATACAGCCTAATGACAAAGCCATCCTTTACAACATCGCCATGATTCAACAGAAATCGGCTGAGATGCTCTTTACCATTGACCCTTCGAAGCGAACATTGAAAGACTTGCGCCACGTAATTAACCAGGCAGCTCATGCTCAGAAGTCAGTGTATATGTTGACCCATGCAATGTCACTCTTACACTTGTTCACAGAATCTTCGGTTCTCTTGCTTCGGACAAATCAGAAAATGTCCCATATAGTCGCGATATAGCTGATCAAAGACGAAAGTACGGTGACAGCATGCTCCGAAAAGGCGATGAACATCTAGCCAACCAGAAGCAATACGAAGATCGTGCACAAGCTAAATTGTTTGATGCACGACAGAAACGGCAAGAGGAGAGGGATCGGATGGAAGCCCAAGAGGTCGTTTTCTCGTTTTTTGTGATATTATATACTGACTGCGAGTAGCGCGAGAGGGCCGAGCGAGAACGTTTGGCGGCAGAAGAGCTGGCGAATAAACGACGACTTGCTCGCGAGCAAGCTCAAGCATGGTCCAGGGATTTGGTGCGGATGGACAGCGATGACGAGAAGGAAAAGCGCCCGAAGAAATCAAGAAAGGCGAAGGGCGAGGGGGCTGCAGGAAGTGGCGATGAAGCAGAACCTAAGAAAAAGCGGAGAGGGAAACTACGGAAGAACAATGAGCAAGCTAATGGAGAAGGAGAAGGAGACGAACCTATGGCTACGTTCAGTGACGACGACGAGGTTGAGAAACCTAAGAAGCGTCCGTCGAAGAAACGAGTTGTGAGAGACGACGATGAGGAAGAGACGGCTGGCGGTCCTCGGAAAAAACAATTGTATGTTTCTCTTTTTAGTCCGTTCTGTAAGACTGCTTATGCTTCGTTCTCTTATAGTAAGAGCAAGGAGATGCTCTCGGATACTGACGAGGAGGAGATGGATGTATCATGATGTTGCATATGTTTATTTTTGCTGTCTGCTTATATCTGTATTATCTAACTTCCTGTTCTCGCTGTTGATTCTGCTTTTTGGCTCTGCTACGCTGCGAAGTCTTACCTAGCGTATGTGAGGGATTACCATTTTTATCACAGTTCTGTTAAGTATGGCCTAGAGTTCTGGGGTTTTCTGTAATGGCGTACCCCCCGTGTGGGGTCGAACAGGGGTGTATTACGCAACTACGGAAGAACACGATCAAGTCTTTGTTGACTTCCTACTTCGACGACCCGGTAGATCCAGCGGTTCATTTGCAGGCGACTATAAGCACTCGTCCTATCTTCTAGATTTCATTGGTGCGCGGCGGACTGTGATGTCCAATCAAGGGCATACCAGAGTGACATCGAGTGTCGACTCACATTCCATCCATACGAACGACTCCGACGAGGGGCGCTGCAATGCTGTAGCGTCAGCTATGGCTATTGAACAAAACCACAACCCTTTCCTTCGCTGGTTAATGACATTGTGCTCAGGTATCATTCTCGACATTCGCGCCCGAGCACCCCATTTCGTTAGTGATTGGACCGATGCGTGGAATTATAGAGTTATCCCCGCTACTGCGTTGATATTCTTTGCCAAGTGCGTATTCAATGTGATCTGCCAATTATGCAATGTTGATGTCGGTGTAGTGTTCTTCCTGGAATTGCTTTCTCTCTAGATCTTATAGAGACTACTGGACAGTATGGCGTCGCCGAGGTGCTCGTCTCGTCCTTCATGGCTGCATTCATTTTTTCCGTTTTCGGTGCTCAACCCCTCACGATTGCCGGCGTCACAGGCCCCATCACAGTCTTCAACAAGACTATTTATGACATTATAGAAAAGCAGACCAACGCTCCAGTATACCTTCATTTCATAGGATGGGTCTATCTGTGGGCAGCTATCATCCATTGGATCACCGCGATTTTGAATTGTATGTCGCCAGTAAAGTTACGTAGGCATAACTTCTAACGCTGCACAGGGTGTAATTTTCTCAAATACGTTACCCTCTTTTCCTGTGATACCTTTGGTTTTTACGTCTCTTGGGTGTACCTCCAATATGGAATACAAGTCATCACGAGGCAGTTCAAGGACAGCACCTCGTCTTCTATACAAGGGACCCTCGTCTCTATTATCCTCGCTATTCTCATGCTCATGGTGTCATTCTTGTTCCAATCACTCTCCGGGACAACATTGTTTCACCGCTACGTTCGCCGTTTCTTTGCGGACTATGGCATGCCTATCTCTTTGGTTGCGACTTCTGCCATGGCATACTGGGGCAGGTTTAATTCTGCTAATCCGCTGACCCTGCCTGTCAATGGCGCGTTCGAAGCTGCTAACGGGAGGGAGTGGCTCGTCAAGTTCTGGCAACTGGAGGGAAAATGGGTGGGCGTCGCGCTTCCATTCGGAATCGTGCTTTGGATCTTGTTCTTTTTTGACCACAATGTTTCGGTGAGACACTTGCGCCGTCTCATCTTACCCACATGACACAAATGTTGTTTAGTCTCTTATGGCGCAAAGCTCCGAGTTTCCTCTTCGTAAACCTCCTGGTTTTCACTACGATTTCTTCCTGCTCGGAATCACGACGTTCATCGCTGGACTCGTCGGCGTTCCAGCTCCGAATGGGCTGATACCTCAGGCTCCCATTCATACGACGTCGCTGATAGTAATGGGGCGACGCGTCAAGAAGGCTGATGAAGAAGGGCCTTGCGACGAGAAGAGTCAAACGTTTTCCAGTGTCGATGAAGTGCCTGTCGCCGTTGTGGAGCAGCGAGTGTCCAACCTTGCTCAGGGTGCCCTGTGTCTTGTTCTGCTCTCGAGTCCGTTCCTTCACGTATTGAATCTCATTCCTCGAGGCGTGCTTGCTGGACTCTTGTAAGCGTTCCACTTATCCATGATGATCCCTCTAATATGTGTAGCTGGTTTATGGGCGCAGATGCCCTCCGGGGAAACGGCATTACGCAGAAACTCTTGTACTTCTTCCGGGACAAGACATTGACTTCTCAAAACGATGCTTTGCGCAAAGTCAGAAAATCGCGTATTCTCATATTCGTTGCCATCCAACTTGGTGGTTTTGGGGCAACGTTTGCAATTACTCAAACGATAGGTCAGCTCTGGTCTAGCTTTGTTTCTTCTCCGGTGCTTGCTAATCCCACCAAGCTGCCATTGGGTTTCCCGTGATTATCATGCTGCTCATTCCTCTGCGTACACTGGTCATCCCGCGATTACCATTTACAAGTGAAGAGCTAGCTATTTTGGATGGGCCTACGGCGTCCCCGTTCGTGAGTCTTTTATAGCTTTCAGACTCCAGTCCTGTCTGATCAAGTTGATGCAGACGATGGAATCGGTTGGGGGCCTTGCTGACTAAATGACTATATAGCAGAGTACTCTTCGAATCCTCTATAATACTTACAACTCACTCACGATGCCCACTGGAAGGACATTAAGCCGGAAACTACTCGATGCCAGCAAAGTAGGTATAAGTACACTAGTTTTTGACTTTCCGCCCTTGACAGCTAAGTACACTTGCCATCTGGGGCATGTGCCTTGTCCAATTTAGCAGGTGTTCTATCGATCGATCATTTCCTACGTTCAAAGTTCACACTTCTGCAAACTTCTGCTGTTCATACAGCCTATTTGACATCGGTTCGCTATGTCAATATTCACAATCTATTATGTAATCTCTTCCTTCACCCGTCTTCAGGGTGAGATGGCCGAGCGGTCCAAGGCGTGTGACTCGAGCGATTACGTGTTGTTGCGTAAGCAGCTTGTCCGGTATGGGTTTCTCATCATCGTATGATGGCAGGGGTTTGAATCCCATTCTCATCAAAATTTTGTTTCGAGAGTTGTCGTCGAGCCGTCGAGTCGGACGGAGACTGGAGTTCCATGAGTCATGAGTGGCAGTAAGGACCGAGATTATTAAACAATGCCACTACAATCTGAAGTTTAAATCAATCAAGTTACAACTTCAACGGTAGCGACCCCGCACGCAATCCGAGGCAGTGGAAAAAACTGTGTTGTTACTCTCACTCCTTTGCAAGGAGGTTGTTTCGATAAGGTAATTTGCAATGTAGCGAAGAACTACGCGACTCATAGGACGTCTTGTATTTTATGCACGTATATTGCTGACAACAATTTCATAACGAGGGTCAGATAAGCCCTAGTGGCAAGGACAAAGAGGCAGGCCCTGTATCTTTCACGCATGGCGAACTGCGGAAAACTATACAAGTCAAAACAAGCGCCAAGCATGGATGAATGATAAGCATGCAGCAACCACAATATCTCCCAGAAATATGGACACAAGACTTGGTGCGAAGTTCTACAGATTAACATGACACCAACTAGACCTAGGTGAACGGAGAGCCTTAGAACCACTTAGAAGACTTGGGGCTCAGATCGAAACAATTCCGGATGCTGCCAGTGGGCCCTGGTAGCATCCAGGCGACAAACCATTCGGTGAGGGCGCCGACGGAAACAGGAGGCTAAACCACCTGTTTATAAACCCACCCCCACGGATCATGAGAGGTCCTGTATCTCATTTCGTAGACCACAAGCACAGCCTTCATTGATTACGAATAGCCAAATGGACTCTCTGTCCAAGTACTTCGGAGTCTCGATCCTCGGTCAGTCTATCTCTCATGCACTTCTGATGGGACATCGTCATCAGGACACAAATGATAACAGGTATTTGGCGGTCAGGCCAGTGGGATTCAATAGGAAAATGGCAGAAAGTCAAAGTCTACTTACTCATTCTCGCAGCGCCGACACACACAAGCGAAATACCAATCTCTAGCCAGCTCCTCGCGGCGCTTCTTGACGGGATCGCTCGCATCTATATAGCTGATGCACAACTCCTCTCCAGCCTCGATATCCCGGGTGGCATAAAAGTGCATCGAGCGTCCTTCCCGTTGTTTGCGGACATTAGGAAAACAATCTGCAGACGATGAGGCTAAGTCAATAGAGATCAATACTAAGCACGTACCATGGTTGAAATACGACGCCTTGATGTACATCGCGAATCCTAGCATCTCGCTATCCCCCGACGTGGACATATCGTACAGGCCAAAGGCGTTCCCTTGATCGCGCCCAAGAATAGCACGTACAGTATCCACTGTCACATACGCATAAAAATCCGGCACTGTTTGCGCCGCTTTGCGGAGGAACGCATATACCCGTATTTGAGAGTCAAGATCCTGTGGACGCCCACGGATGTACTCGAGTTCGTTATCCTGTAGCTGTATGAAGTCCGCCCATTCGTCCCCGCCCGTGTATCGCACCATGATAACAGAGGCAAGAAATCGCACGGTATCAAGCTCTAGCTCTGTCAAAGGCTCCAAGTCGAATGTGGATGCCGCCCAAACAGCATCGAGATCTGTCTTGCTGGTAATGTTCTTCGTGGAGCAAGATTCCTTTGCTTCACCCTTGAGCGATCTCGCCAGTCTATCCACCGCAGCGTGCATTTTCCCCAGCAAACCATCTCCATCCTGCCAGGCATCACGACACTCTATGGAGCAAAACCATACTCCGGCGCCGTCACGTCGAATGTTCCATGCATTCCGATTACTGTCGAATGCATAGGAGAAGCAGTGGCCACAGACTTCCTTGCGAAATACGCGGTATATCACGGAGGCGTAGGGAGATGAACAGGTGTAGATGAATGCGTTTTTCGGTATGGATGTCGTTGCAAATAAGCCACGTCCTCCGTATGCCGTCTCTTTGATATGCAGCAGATCAGAATACATGCATCCGGGTGGCCGCAGCAGGTGGAGAAGCGTCAGCTGGGGTGGTGGTTAAGAACAAGCCAGCTACTAGTATGTAGAATGAAAAATCAGCGACAAATGATAATAAATAAAATAAATTGGAAATGGTACGAGGCCTGAGGCCTGAGGGCCCGGGAACCTGGGTCCTGCGGCGCTCCCTGTTCTTGAACCACCAACTTTTACTTTTTCAAGATGCTTCGTTATAGGACTTTCCAGGTATCGGGATGCCAAGCTCGATGGCTCAGCTTTTCAGCCGCGACCAATGTTGGATTAAGCTTCAAGCTTGGCTTATATAGGTCGTGAATAAGCTCTTCACTCAACAAGTCAAATATTGCTAGTTCCTTGAAGGTCTACTTGTGAATAGCAGGTAAATGACTGCACCTCGCCCGACTCGTAAAGAAGAACACGGATGAAATCCGTGAGTTGGAATTCCCACAAAGTGTTCCTGTTCTTAAACATTCCTTGAACAGACTACTTAGAAAAAGTTCAAGTTTCTACCGCATACCGGGGGGTCATATCTGTTATCGACTTTCCCCAGTCGACTATGTATGCCAAACTGAGATCTGCGCGTCAGATGAGCTGTTTCGCAATTTAAGCACCAGGTTCACTTTTCGACTATCGTCTCTGAACACCGCGGGAATGCATAACATATTACTTACGGAGGACTCTCAGAGTTGTGGTCCCGGTCAGCCGAGTCTACTATCTTTAAACAGTCCATTTCTATATAAACGGTTGTCGCTGCCGTATGACAACGCACGCATCCGAACTTTTTCCCATCCCATACATAGTACATACGCCTACACCATGGAAGGAGGCAGCAGATTCCAGAATATTCCGGTCTCCTGTCAGTCTCTAAACTATCTTTTTAGTCTTACTCCCTCATCTTATACTGCAGGGCTCGCATTCGTCGTATATTGAGGCATTGTGCTATTTGGATATAACATGTGTGTGGATATTCTCGAGTACTGCCTTTCGAGCTAGGTATTCATGCTGTTTGGCTTTTATTAGCGTTGGTGGCAGTATTGTTAATCACCCATACTTCCAGCACCATTTTGGCATGTACAACGCCGATGGGACGAAGAATACGCATAAAGTGAACAATATATCATCCAACGTCGTGTCCTCTTTCTAAGCTGGAACCTTCTTTGGCGTCTTGGGTAGTGTTCCGATATCTCGTAAGTTCTTATCTTTGACTTTTTCTATCCGAAGTTCATTGTTGTATACTTGGAAGAATATACACCTCGCTCGTATACTCTCTTCTCTTCTGTATCGGTGCAGTGCGTCTGTTTCTGCTCCATCTTTATTCATCGTTCGATGTGCGATGAGCGCTTAGATTCTGACGACTGCCGCCGAATCCCCATCGAATGGCCTTCCCCTTATCTATTCCGGGCGCGTCATATCTGGTGTTGGAATAGGTGGTATTTGGGCTGTAGCTCTAGCTTATGTCTCCGAGTGTTCACGCAAAGACGTCCGGGGACGAATCACCGGGCTGTTCTAGATCATGCTGACCACATCTTACTTCACTCAAGAACCTCGCATACTTGCGAAAACTCCCACCCACTTCTGAGCAGGTCCTGCACGAGATGACCGAAATACAAGCCGTTGCCGAGGAAGAGTGCTTGGCTCGTGAGGGTCTGCAATGGCAAGAGGCATTTTTCGAAAAGGGAAACCTTATTCGATTCGTGATCGCGTTCGTTATATCCCTTTTACAGGCATGGTCGGGCCAAAATTGTGCTGTCTCCATTTGTCCTCGTTTTCTCCAGCTAACCCACACTCTTTACTATTTCAGCCGTGAAGTACTGCGCGCCCCAGATATTTGGATCCATCTGTTATACCGATACAAGAAACACCCTTCTAGCATCAGGGGTCTTTGGCATCGTCAAATTGGTATCCTTGTTATTATTGGTCTTCTTCGGAATTGAATGGCCTGGAAGAAAACTATGCCTAATCATCTCTACGTTTGGAATGGGCACCTTGTTCTATATCGTTGGTGTACTTCTGAAAGACACACCCACCACCCGTGACCAGTTCCACGAATACTTCAGTATCATCCCCCGATGCAGTCAGCCAAGCTACGGTAGCCATGATATACATATACGTATTCTTCTACTGTTTGGGATGGGGGCCACTCCCATGGATTTACGTATCGGATATCTTCCCGACCAGGACAAGGCATTACGGCTTAGCATTGGGTACTGCATCTCGGTGGCTGTGGAGTAGGTCGCTCGCATCACCTATCCGTTTACATTTAGTTGATCAGGCGAAAGGTTTCGTCGTGTCGAAAACCACCCCAGACATGATCAGCACCTTGGGTTGTCACTAGTTCCCAGATAGAAACCCAGCTGCAATTCAACCGCAGTGGTCTCTGCATGAGCTGACGCAAAACGATGGTCTTCATATTGATCAGTGATTCGCTCGGTATCGGAGCTCCATCCAAACGCTTGTCGGGCTCTCCTACGTCACCAGCTGTTTGAAAGTGAATTATCTATGGTGTCAGTGGGTTTGTGGACTGCGCGAATCTGAGTGATGTTCGTTTCTGAAGGAGTACGCGGCGCGTCTGGTGTAGACTTTCTACGATAGTGGTAGCCTTGTTTTTAGCGCGCCCCTCCCTTGTTATCACCGTCGGTACCGTTACGTCAGCTACTATGTATGGAAATACTTTCCCATCATCTATTGAACCAATACCACCGCGTTTCTATGCCGTCCCTCATGCTCCTCTCACCATCCAGTGACGCCACGACTCGAGCTCTCTCACGGAACAATCCTGAAGGCATTTAAGTTGTCAAAGATGTCATGGCAAAGCAAATACCGAGCTGGAAGGATGGTCTTCGGCCATTTCAAGAGCAACCCGTTATCCACATCCTCAATGGCGAAGGTGTCCTTGTATGCACCGTGACTGGTGAAGGAAGCTCGGCTCTGTTCACCATCCCAATTCCGTTCCATCCGTGGCAGAAACGCGCCAGGATGGATCGTTAATGGACGTGATCTATTTACGTAACGGAGCCGACGGCGATAACAAGGCCCCCACAAAAACAACAGACTTTATGCCACTCCCCTCTATAGGGGTGT